TCCTGCAAGTCCTGCTCGACTAGATATAAGTTGACCCAGATGTTTGACTTGGCACTGCGGCGGCTAAACTGCCTTAAGAGAAGTGTGTGTGCGTGTGTGTGTGAATAAAAAGGTATAAACATAGGCGTGCAAACTTCAGTGTATCAGTGAACTACTGAACAAAAATATAAATGCAACATGTAAAGTGTTGGTCCCATGTTTCATGAGCTGAAATAAAAGATCACAGAAACGTTCCATTTCCACAAAAAGCTTATTTCTCTCAAATTTTGTGCACAAATATGTTTACATCCCTGTTAGTGAGCATTTCTCCTTTGCCAAGATAATCCATCCATCTGACAGGTGTGGCATATCAAGAAGCTGATTAAACAGCATGATCATTACACAGGGGCACCTTGTGCATTGGACAATAAAAGGCCACTCTAAAATGTTCTGTTTTGTCACACAACGCCACAAATGTCTCAAGTTTTGAGGGAGCATTCAATTGGAATGCTGACTGCAGGAATGTCCACCAGAGTTGTTGCCAGATAATTTAATGTTAATTTATCTAGCATAAGCTGCCTCCAACATCATTTTAGAGAATTTGGCAGTATGTCCAACCGGCCTCACAACCACAGACCACGTGTACACGCCAGCCCAGGACCTCCACATCCGGCTTCTTCACCTGCGGGATCGTCTGAGACCAGCCACCCGGACAGCTGATGAAATTTAGGAGTATTTCTGTCTGTATTAAAGTCATGTGAAATCCATAGATTAGGGCCTAATGAATTTATTTCAATTCACTGATTTCCTTTTCATGAACTGTAACTCAGTAAAATCGTTGAAATTGTTGTGTGTTCCGTTTCTATTTTTGTTCAGTATATATTGTCTGGAAAGCTGTAGCACACTGAGTATATCAAATATTAGGAACACCTTAGAAATATTGAGTTGCACGCCACGCCACCCCACCACACCCGACCCCACAGGGATGCTGCAATATAGGACCCTAACTGCTGTATTGAATTTAAAAAAAGGTGCTTTGGTTGCTTTACCTTTTTTTTTTTTTTTGTTAAACTGGACTAGCTACAGTGAGGGAAAAAAGTATTTGATCCCCTGCTGATTTTGTACGTTTGCCCACTGACAAAGACATGATCAGTCTATAATTTTAATGGTAGGTTTATTTGAACAGTGAGAGACAGAATAACAACAACAAAAAATCCAGAAAAACGCATGTCAAAAATGTTATAAATTGATTTGCATTTTAATGAGGGAAATAAGTATTTGACCCCTCTGCAAAACATGACTTAGTACTTGGTGGCAAAACCCTTGTTGGCAATCACAGAGGTCAGACGTTTCTTGTAATTGGCCACCAGGTTTGCACACATCTCAGGAGGGATTTTGTCCCACTCCTCTTTGCAGATCTTCTCCAAGTCATTAAGGTTTTGAGGCTGACGTTTGGCAACTCGAACCTTCAGCTCCCTCCACAGATGTTCTATGGGATTAAGGTCTGGAGACTGGCTAGGCCACTCCAGGACCTTAATGTGCTTCTTCTTGAGCCACTCCTTTGTTGCCTTGGCCGTGTGTTTTGGGTCATTGTCATGCTGGAATACCCATCCACGAACCATTTTCAATGCCCTGGCTGAGGGAAGGAGGTTCTCACCCAAGATTTGACGGTGGGGATGGTGTTCTTGGGGTCATAGGCAGCATTCCTCCTCCTCCAAACACGGCGAGTTGAGTTGATGCCAAAGAGCTCCATTTTGGTATCATCTGACCACAACACTTTCACCCAGTTCTCCTCTGAATCATTCAGATGTTCATTGGCAAACTTCAGACGGGTCTGTATATGTGCTTTCTTGAGCAGGGGGACCTTGCGGGCGCTGCAGGATTTCAGTTCTTCACGGCGTAGTGTGTTACCAATTGTTTTCTTGGTGACTATGGTCCCAGCTGCCTTGAGATCATTGACAAGATCCTCCCGTGTAGTTCTGGGCTGATTCCTCACCGTCCTCATGATCATTGCAACTCCACGAGGTGAGATCTTGCATGGAGCCCCAGGCCGAGGGGGATTGACAGTTATTTTGTGTTTCTTCCATTTGTGAATAATCGCACCAACTGTTGTCACCTTCTCACCAAGCTGCTTGGCGATGGTCTTGTAGCCCATTCCAGTCTTGTGTAGGTCTACAATCTTGTCCCTGACATCCTTGGAGAGCTCTTTGGTCTTGGCCATGGTGGAGAGTTTGGACTCTGATTGATTGATTGCTTCTGTGGACAGGTGTCTTTTATACAGGTAACAAACTGAGATTAGGAGCACTCCCTTTAAGAGTGTGCTCCTAATCTCAGCTCGTTACCTGTATAAAAGACACCTGGGAGCCAGAAATCTTTCTGATTGACTGTAGATGTAGGATTTTCTAACAAGTGGTCCTCTGTAGCTCGGTTGGTAGAGCATGGCTCTTGCAACATAGTGGGTTTGATTTCTGGGACCACCCATATGTACATATAAAAAAAATATGCATGCATGACTAAGTTGCTTTGGATAAAAGTGTCTGCTAAATGGCATTTATTATAAGAAGGCAGACAATTGAGGTACCAGACAATTAAGTCATAATGCCCGAGAAGCCAGTGTTTGGAGGATATATGGGCACCGGTGTTGTTATGCCAATATATCATCCAAACACCGGCTTCGAGGGCATTTTAACTTTTATACAACGGGTTACCAACATATTCAAATAATGATTGACATATTTTCATTAAAAACGTTATTTTTATTAATTTATTCATACTATTTCATCCTTCCACAATATATAGTCCCAACGCAAATCTAGGGTTGCTAGAGACGCGACCCAGTCATTCAGTCTTATTGTTCTGTATCTATGGACGCGACCCAGTCTTTCGTTCGAAATGTTCCATTGCCATACTGCCTGGCAACGTTATTATCCCTTGCTTGCTAGCTAGCCAACTACGGCTAACTTACAGTCACGTCAAACAGTGCAGCCAGAATAACAGCAAAGTAGCCACATTTGCATTTGTTTAAGCTGTTTTCTAGTGACATTTATTTGGATACATCCATGGCAATGAGCTAATGAGGCGCGTTTTCGCCTGGCATAGAAAATGTGCTCACTCGTCAGGACACTTGTTCAGAGGAGCTAGCCAACAACACAGCTACAGTAACACAATCACTTCAAACTGAAGATGGAAAGACTGCAAATTAGCTGTGTTTCGTTTTACGTTTTTTCAATTGCCATGTTTTTGTATATATCCATAAAAATCATGCCAGCTGATTCATTATTTCGACTGGCTGAGAAACGCTGCCTGCCTGTCTGTCTCGTCCTGACTCCCGACACATCCATTACAATGGGACAGCAGGAGATCGAATTTGAATATTGAAACAATGTTGCAAATGTCTGAGAAACAGACAGCAAGGTTTATACAAATCTCCGCTGTTGAAAACGAAATGTTATAAACTTGATCTCCACTATAAAAAGCATCTAGACATTATCTCACATTTCTTTTAGACTAAGTTGCCTGGCTGGGCTGATAAGACAGTGGATTGCGCAGTCAGATGGAACAGAGTAAATAGGCAATCAGCATTCAGGATTAGACCCACCCATTGTATAATTAAGGTTCAAATACTGTACTGTATACAAAAACATTGTGCTTAGTCTATTTCTTTCAGGAATAGTGTCCCTAACTTCAGGTCCCAAGACTTGCATTCACAAGAGGACTTGAAACTCTAACCTTCTCAATGTACACATTAACCTGACTCAGGATCAACAGATGGAATGTCCTCTCAATAAAACAAGGTGATCCTGATGATAGACAGATTATCAGAATCAGATATCACAGTGATGGGGTGATAAGGGAGAGGGGGAGAAACAGACAGTCAAGGATGGAGGGAAGGAGAGAGGGATGGTGTCAGTTCCTCTTTTTTTCTTCACGTTAAGTGTCTGTGATACCACTGGGTGTAAGGATGCCACTCTTACACTTTGGCATTTTTGTGATGCATTTACCTCAAGTGTACACAAAGTGACCTGCGTGCCCTTGCCCAACGTCTACCTTAACAACAATTCTATTAATGATGTAGAGATCATTTGAGGTGAAAACCAGCATACATGTGGGTAGTTGAAGACCAGGATTGGGAGCCTGTGGTTTAATGTAATAATCAAGGGCTAGCCTAACCCATGGCACATTGCGTTATGAATCACTCAATGGTTCACAGTGCAAGTGGAACACATAGTCACACAACTGTCACCGTTCACAGTACAGTAGATAAGACAAGAGGAAAATTGGGTGAAGGGAGGATATTTGTCCTCTATATAAAAAAGAAGGCTAAGAGCATAATTTAAATGTTTGCTGTGAGTGTATACATGAAGTAGTCTTTGTCCCATACAGCAGTTGTGGTTCTCCACAGGGTTGTGTCCAGTTGGTGCAGTGAGCCAGCACATCCACCAGAGGGTGAGAGAGTCACTTTACTGTTTTTCTTATCAAACAGCACAAGCTTGATCCCTTTGCAGCTTGATCCATTTCATGACAAATTATTATGATTAATTATACTGTATTCTCTACACAGCTTTGAATTTAGAGTAGAAATTCAGACTACATTCTAACTGGCAGGGCTCTGACTCATTTGATCATTCATTTCTTCCCCATTTGTACAATCAAGGCATGGGTTGGGTTTCTTCCAAGTTCACATGCAAAACAGTAGCCTGGGCATTTTGCATGAACTGCATATGAAAGGTGAGGGAATGATAGTACAGCATGTGCAATAGCTCCTGGACCCAGGTCTCTGAGCTTGTCCGTCTTCTGTTTATCCAGGAGAAAATAAGACTGAAAAAAAAACTGGTAATGATATGGAGGAAAATAATATGAAAGATGGAGGTATGGAAGAGTGAATGGATAATAGATAAAGAGATACGTATTGAAGTTGTTGGGGGCCGGCATTAGGTTGGAGATGTTCGTTAACGATGATTACAGGCAGATGCAGAGGCATGGGGTTGTCGGCGTACACCGGAGTGTGGTAGTGGGTGGAGTCAGCAAGGGCGTGGCAAAGGGTGCAGCAGGGTCATGTGTTCGGCCCCGTTGAAAGGCAGCCGCTGAGTGACGTAGTGGTGCACCACCTCTGGAATGCTGGGAAACACACAGCTGCTCTGGTCCAGCGTGTAGCCGTTCTCCTTAGTCTGGGCTACGATGATGTGAACACAGCCCTGGCTCATCCTGAGAGAGAAGGATTTTAAAAAGGTAGAGAGGTGAAAAGGATGAATTACACTAAGGCTACGCATTATGAATTGTGTGGAATAGCAAGCCAAATTAGCAGAAAGGGTTCCAATGCAAGGGAATGTACAATTTGTGATGTTTTTTTTTACACATTATGTATGGTATCAGCTCTGAAGAGAATGAACAGGTGTACTAGTGATTAATACACTCACTTGAGAGCAATGGAGTATTTGCTGGTTCCTGATTCGCTGTTCCTCACCAGGAAACTGGCCTCTTTGCAGGACTGGAGGTGAGACTCTGCCTCCTGGCTTATTACACACCCATGGTACCAGCTAGAGCAACCGAGGGACAGAGGGAAGGGAAGGCACAGGGGTCAGAAATTAGAGGAGACGGAGGAGAGTCTCCTGAGCACATGAAGCTAACAAAGGCCTTACAAAATAGTAGATTCATCCTGTATTGAAGTGGTTCACTAATATCAACAACAGAATATCTGAAAAACATATGTTAACTTTGCAAGGTATAGGGGAGAGTAGGGTGAGTTGAGCTCAATGGCTGTATATGTGAATGGACATCGATCATGTGACACCATTCATTCCTATGTGAAGACTGAATAGCGCATTGAAGCCAAATGAAGTCGGTTAAGATGGTGTCTCATGGAGACATAACATGCACAGTTTGAACTACTCCAAGAAGTGACGTTGCAGGCTAGCTCAATGCTGCCTCCTCTCATTGACTAACTCAAGTTGAAGGCTGTGTACTGCAGGCTGCCATTAGCAACTAAATTATCCTTATTAAAACGTATTCTGTGTGCATTTTTTAAATAGTCGGTTCAATGACATACAGTGAGGGAAAAAAGTATTTGATCCCCTGCTGATTTTGCACGTTTGCCCACTGACAAAGACATGATCAGTCTATAATTTTAATGGTAGGTTTATTTGAACAGTGAGAGACAGAATAACAACAACAAAAAATCCAGAAAATCGCATGTTAAAAATGTTATAAATTGATTTGCATTTTAATGAGGGAAATAAGTATTTGACCCCTCTGCAAAACATGACTTAGTACTTGGTGGCAAAACCCTTGTTGGCAATCACAGATGTCAGACGTTTCTTGTAGTTGGCCACCAGGTTTGCACACATCTCAGGAGGGATTTTGTCCCACTCCTCTTTGCAGATCTTCTCCAAGTCATTATGGTTTCGAGGCTGACGTTTGGCAACTCGAACCTTCAGCTCCCTCCACAGATTTTCTATGGGATTAAGGTCTGGAGACTGGCTAGGCCACTCCAGGACCTTAATGTGCTTCTTCTTGAGCCACTCCTTTGTTGCCTTGGCCGTGTGTTTTGGGTCATTGTCATGCTGGAATAACCATCCACGACCCATTTTCAATGTCCTGGCTGAGGGAAGGAGGTTCTCACCCAAGATTTGACGGTACATGGCCCCGTCCATCGTCCCTTTGATGCGGTGAAGTTGTCCTGTCCCCTTAGCAGAAAAACACCCCCAAAGCATAATGTTTCCACCTCCATGTTTGACGGTGGGGATGGTGTTCTTGGGGTCATAGGCAGCATTCCTCCTCCTCCAAACACAGCGAGTTGAGTTGATGGACTCTAAGATAACCTGCCTAAATGACTACCGACCCGTAGCACTGACGTCTGTAGCCATGAAGTGCTTTGAAAGGCTGGTCATGGCTCACATCAACAGCATTATCCCAGAAACCCTAGACCCACTCCAATTTGCATACCGCCCCAACAGATCCACAGATGATGCAATCTCTATTGCACTCCACACTGCCCTTTCCCACCTGGACAAGAGGAACACCTACGTGAGAATGCTATTCATTGACTACAGCTCAGCATTCAACACCATAGTGCCGTCTAAGCTCATTACTAAGCTAAGGATCCTGGGACTAAACACCTCCCTCTGCAACTGGATCCTGGACTTCCTGACGGGCCGCCCCCAGATGGTAAGGGTAGGTAACAACACATCTGCCACACTGATCCTCAACACGGGGGCCCCTCAGGGGTGCGTGCTCAGTCCCCTCCTGTACTCTCTGTTCACCCATGACTGCATGGCCAGGCACGACTCCAACACCATCATTAAGTTTGCCGACGACACAACAGTGGTAGGCCTGATCACCGACAACGATGAGACAGCCTATAGGGAGGAGGTCAGAGACCTGGCCGTGTGGTGCCAGGACAACAACCTCTCCCTCAACGTGACCAAGACAAAGGAGATGATTGTGGACTACAGGAAAAAAAAGAGGACTGAGCACGCCCCCATTCTCATCGACGGGGCTGTAGTGGAACAGGTTGAGAGCTTCAAGTTCCTTGGTGTCCACATCACCAACGAACTATCATGGTCCAAACACACCAAGACAGTCGTGAAGAGGGCACGACAAAGCCTATTCCCCCTCAGGAGACTGAAAAGATTTGGCATGGGTCCTCAGATCCTCAAAAAATTATACAGCTGCACCATCGAGAACATCCTGACTGGTTGCATCACCGCCTGGTATGGCAACTGCTTGGCCTCCGACCGCAAGGCACTACAGAGGGTAGTGCGTACGGCCCAGTACATCACTGGGGCCAAGCTTCCTGCCATCCAGGACCTCTATACCAGGCGGTGTCAGAGGAAGGCCCTCAAAATTGTCAAAGACTCCAGCCACCCTAGTCATAGACTGTTCTCCCTGCTACCGCACGGCAAGCGGTACCGGAGTGCCAAGTCTAGGTCCAAAAGACTTCTCAACAGCTTCTACCCCCAAGCCATAAGACTCCTGAACAGCTAATCATGGCTACCCAGACTATTTGCACTGCCCCCCCACCCCATCCTTTTTACGATGCTGCTACTCTGTTAATTATTTATGCATAGTCACTTTAACTCTACCCACATGTACATATTACTTCAACTATCTCAACTAGCCGGTGCCCCCGCACATTGACTCTGCACCGGTACCCCCCTGTATATATAGCCTCCCTACTGTTATTTTATTTTACTTCTGCTCTTTTTTTCTCAACACTTTTTTTGTTGTTGTTTTATTTTTACTTTTTTTGTTAAAAATAAATGCACTGTTGGTTAAGGGCTGTAAGTAAGCATTTCACTGTAATGTCTGCACCTGTTGTATTCAGCGCATGTGACCAATACAATTTGATTTGATTTGATTTGATGCCAAAGACCTCGATTTTGGTCTCATCTGACCACAACACTTTCACCGAGTTCTCCTCTGAATCATTCAGATGTTCATTGGCAATCTTCAGACGGGCCTGTATATGTGCTTTCTTGAGCAGGGGGACCTTGCGGGCGCTGCAGGATTTCAGTCCTTCACGGCGTAGTGTGTTACCAATTGTATTCTTGGTGACTATGGTCCCAGCTGCCTTGAGATCATTGACAAGATCCTCCTGTGTAGTTCTGGGCTGATTCCTCACCGTTCTCATGATCATTGCAACTCCACGAGGTGAGATCTCAACTCCACGAGGTGAGATCTGGGTCAAATACTTATTTCCCTCATTAAAATGCAAATCAATTCATAACATTTTTGACATGCGCTTTTCTGGATTTTGTTGTTGTTATTCTGTCTCTCACTGTTCAAATAAACCTACCATAAAAATGATAGACTGATAATTTCTTTGTCAGTGGGCAAACGTACAAAATCAGCAGGGGATCAAATACTTTTTTCCCTCACTGTACATCTGGTTTATTATTGGTACCATGATTATTGGTACCATGATTGTCTTCAAAACATTTTTTAATTTACACGAAGATTGACCACGAAGATTGACATTTTTCCATTCACTATATTTGGGGAATCCTTGAACTTCAGTGGCTTCAACGAGAGGGGGCAGTCGTTCTCCCCTTGTTGTGCCATCCCTTGTTTCAAGGAAACCAAATATTTATAATAATAATAATATGCCATTTAGCAGACGCTTTTATCCAAAGCGACTTACAGTCATGCGTGCATAATTATTTTTTTTTTGTGTATGGGTGGTCCCGGGGATCGAACCCACTACCTTGGCGTTACAAGCGCCGTGCTCTACCAGCTGAGCTACAGAGAAAGAGGTCATCATTTCATGTAGTCTGTGAAGGAAGAAACCACATGGAAAAATTGGTAAGTAAGTAAGTACAAAAATAAAAGATTTTCACCAAGTAAAATGAATGTTTTGTCTTATAGGTTTGATGATGCTTGTATCTAAACCAAAGTAGATTGTTTAAAGATTGTTTTATATATCACTTGGGGTCTCTACAAGCTACAATATAAGGTCCTAAATCTATCATTAAAGTGCATTGTTGTAGCTGTGTGGTCTAATATAGTCAAAATGTTTGCCTTGGGGTATGTTGAGCCAATGGCCATTGGGTAAGTTGAGCCAATGGCCACCATACCCCATACAAATGATGATTACATTCTGTCCTGTTAATGCATAATATTTATAGTATTTTTGCAATGTGTCATGCATATGAACTAAACATTTTTATTGTTACAGAGCAGACATCATCATGTCCTGTGTATACAAACGTAAAACAAGCAGGGGTCTAGCCCCCCTTGAGGTTCATGATAGAGCGGTCAAGGAAGTGAGAGAAGGGAAGTCCATTCTAGCAGTAGCAAGGGATTAACAAAATTGACTGAATGACACTGAAGAGGTACATTGACAAAGAATAAAATGAATATGTACGAAAGAGAGGCTATGATAGAGTAGCAGAGGCAAACAAGGTCTTATCTGATGACATGGAGTCTGAGCATGCTAAAGATATCAAGAATCTCACGGACCACTTTCATTAGTAGCCTCAAATGCAGAGAACTTGCCTACGAATTGACACATCGAAACAACATCCCTGTCCCAGACAAGTGGTCAAGAAATGGAAGGGTAAGTGATATTGAACAGAGATCTCTATCTGAATGTAGGCATACATTTAAGTTATACAATTTACCACACCCCCATTCCATTAATTAAACTTTAACCTACCAGCACTATCACTCACTGTCACAGGACACCATCACCCACTTACCCCAAGGCGGCTCAACTTACCTTTTCCCTATGCTCAACTTACCGCGGGGTAAGTTGTGCCAAGAGACCACTTTTTTTGGACAAGCTATGTTTTCAAAACTGTTATGTTTACATTAATTCTGATTATTTCCAGGGATACACAACATAATATACACTACCGTTCAAAAGTTTGGGGTCACTTAGAAATGTCCTTGTTTTTGGTCCATTAAAATAACATCAAATTGATCAGAAATACAGTGTAGACACTGTTAATGTCCTAAATGGCTATTGTAGCTGGAAACAGCTGATTTTTGATGGAATATCTACATAGGCTTACAGAGGCCCATTATCAGCCTGTAATCGAACCCACAATTGCTGATGCTCCAGATTCTCAACTAGTCTCAAGAAGGCCAGTTTTATTGCTTCTTTAATCAGCACAACAGTTTTCAGCTGTGCTAAAATAATTCCAAAAGGGTTTTCTAATGATCAATTAGCCTTTTAAAATGATAAACTTGGATTAGCAAACCCAACGTGCCATTGGAACACAGGACTGATGGTTGCTGATAATGGGCCTCTGTATGCCTATGTAGATATTCCATTAGAAATCAGCCGTTTCCAGCTACAATAGCCATTTACAGCATCAACAATGTCTACACTGTATTTCTGATCAATATGATGTTATTTTAATGGACAATAAAATTGCTTTTCTTTCGAAAACAAGGACATTTCTAACTGACCCCAAACTTTTGAACGGTAGTGTATGTAGATATTCTTGTTAGAAAGAACACTATATTTCACTGGACGTAGTGATGCTGAATAGAAAAAATTGCTCACCTTAACCCGCTCTCCCCTACCGGTACACAGACAGAGTGACAGGTACGCATCTACATCTAATGTATTGTTGTGCTGCAGAAAAAACTGAAGATAAGAGTTTTTCAAAGCTACAATCTATTGCATCTGTCCCTGCCGTTGACCTATAAACCCTGTCTCCTTCCTAACCTCTGTTTCTCCAGGGGCAGGGTGGGGTCCACCCGGCACACCTCAGCCTCAGGGCCGATGTTGGGTGGGCAGGAAAGGGAGGGCGAGAGGGTGGGAGAGGACTTCAGGATCTTCTGGCTCCAGCTCTTTTGTCGCAGGTGCTGCTGCTGTTGGGGCTGTTGCTGGGACTGCTGTGTCAGGGTGAAGTGTGGGGGGGGGGGGGGTCCTCTTTGGTTGGGGAGTGGCGCTCAGGGCTATCGAACTGGGCTGAAGACGAGGAAGGGTCAGAGCAGAGGGAGAAATTACAGTTGAAGTTGGAAGTTTACATACAGTTAGGTTGGAGTCATTAAAACTTGTTTTTCAACCACTCCACAAATTTCTTGTTAACAAACTATAGTTTTGGCAAGTCGGTTAGGACATCTACTTTGTGCATGACACAAGTAATCTTTCCAACAATTGTTTACACACAGACTATATCACTTATAATTCACTGTATCACAATTCCAGTAGGTCAGAAGTTTACATACACTAAGTTGAGTGGGCCTTTAAACAGCTTGGAAAATTCCAGAAAATGATGTCATGGCTTTAGAAGCTTCTGATAGGCTAATTGACATCATTTGAGTTAATTGGAGGTGTACCTGTGGATGTATTTCAAGGCCTACCTTCAAACTCAGTGCCTCTTTGCTTGACATCATGGGAAAATCAAAATAAATCAACCAAGACCTCAGAAAAATAATTGTAGACCTCCACAAGTCTGGTTCATCCTTGGGAGCAATTTCCAAATGCCTGAAGGTACCATGTTCATCTGTACAAACAATAGTACGCAAGTATAAACACCATGGGACCACGCAGCCGTCATACCGCTCAGGAAGGAGACGCGTTCTGTCTCCTAGAGATGAACGTACTTTGGTGCGAAAAGTGCAAATCAATCCCAGAACAACAGCAAAGTACCTTGTGAAGATGCTGGAGGAAACAGGTACAAAAGTATCTATTTCCACAGTAAAACAAGTCCTATATCGACATAACCTGAAAGGCCGCTCAGCAAGGAAGAAGCCACTGCTCCAAAACCGCCATAAAAAAGCCAGACTACGGTTTGCAACTGCACATGGGGACAAAGATCGTACTTTTTGGAGAAATGTCCTCTGGTCTTATGTTTGGAGGAAAAAGGGGATGGCTTGCAAGCCGAAGAACACCATCCCAAACGTGAAGCACGGGGGTGGCAGCATCATGCTGTGGGGGAGCTTTGCTGCAGGAGGGACTGGTGCACTTCACAAAATAGATTGCATTAAGAGGAAGGAAAATTATGTGGATTTATTGAAGCAACATCTCAAGACATCAGTCAGGAAGTTAAAGCTTGGTCGCAAATGGGTCTTCCAAATGGACAATGACCCCAAGCATACTTCCAAAGTTGTGGCAAAATGTCTTAAGGGCAACTAAGTCAAGGTATTGGAGTGGCCATCACAAAGCCCTGATCTCAATCCTATAGAACATTTGTGGGCAGAACTGAAAAAGCGTGTGTGAGCAAGGAGGCCTACAAACCTGATTCAGTTACACCATCTCTGTCAGGAGGAATGGGCCAAAATTCACCCAACTTATTGTGGGAAGCTTGTGGAAGGCTACCCGAAATGTTTGACCCGAGTTAAACAATTTAAAGGCAATGCTACCAAATACTAATTGAGTGTATGTACACTTCTGACCCACTGGGAATGTGATGAAAGAAATAAAAGCTGAAATAAATCATTCTCTCTACTATTATTCTGACATTTCATATTCTTAAAATAAAGTGGTGATCCTAACTGACCTAAGACAGGGAATTTTTACTTGGATTAAATGTCAGGAATTGTGAAAAACTGAGTTTAAATGTATTTGGCGAAGGTGTATGTAAACTTCAGACTTTTACATTTAAGTCATTTAGCAGACGCTCTTATCCAGAGCGACTTACAAATTGGTGCATTCAACTTAGGATAGCCAGTGGGACAACCACATCTTGATCACAGTAAGTACACTTTTTCAAACAAGCAGCTGTGAGCAAAGTCAGTGCAATCAGGGACAACTACATCTTGATCACAATAAGTACATTTCTTTAAACAAGTCAGTGCTAGCAGGTGAAATAAGTCAGGTGTTAGTTTAGACAAAAGACAGTGGTAGTAAAGGGGGGGTAGAAGGATTACTATTATACTATTCCAGGTATTCCTTAAAGAGGTAGGGTTTCAAGTGTCTCCGGAAGGTGGTCAGTGACTCCGCTGTCCTGGCGTCGTGGGGGAGCTTGTTCCACCATTGGGGTGCCAGAGCAGCGAATAGCTTTGACTGGGCTGAGCGGGAACTGTGCTTCCGTAGAGGTAGGGGGGCTAGCAGGCCAGAGGTGGATGAACGTAGTGCCCTCGTTTGGGTGTAGGATCAGAGCCTGAAGGTAAGGAGGTGCCGTTCCCCTCACAGCTCCGTAGGCAAGCACCATGGTTTTGTAGTAGATGCGAGCTTCAACTGGAAGCCAGTGGAGTGTGCGGAGTTCAATGTGTCAAATCGGAGGGCCTGTTGTCTGGACCTCTGGCAGTCTCTATGGGTCGGGCCGACTCTATTCTCTGTGTATATCAATGATGTTGCTCTTGCTGCTATTGACTCAGATCCACCTCTACGCAGTCGACACCATTTTGTATACATCTGGCCCTTCATTGGACACTGTGTTAACAAACCTCCAAACGAGCTTCAATGCCATATAACACTCCTTCCGTAGCCTCCAACTGCTCTTAAACGCTAGTAAAACTAAATGCATGCTCTTCAATCAAACGCTGCTTGCACCCGCCCGCCCGACTAGAATCACTACTCTCGGCGGGTCTGACTTAGAATATGTGGACAACTACAAATACCTAGGTGTCTGGTTAGACCGTAAACTCTCCTTCCAGACTCACATTAAGCATCTCCAATCCAAAGTTACATCTAGAATCGGCTTTCTATTTCGCAACAAAGCCTCCTTCACTCATGCTGCCAAATATGCCCTCGTAAAACTGACTATCCTACCTATCCTTGACTTCGGCGATGTCATTTACAAAATAGCCTCCAACACTCTACTCAGCAAATTGGATGTAGTCTATCACAGTGCCATCCGTTTTGTCACCAAAGCCCCATATACTACCCACCATTGTGACCTGTACGCTCTCGTTGGCTGGCCCTCACTACATATTCGTCGCCAATCCTACTTGCTCCTGGTCATCTATAAATCTCTGCTAGGCAAATCCCCACCTTATCTTAGGTCATTGGTCACCATAGCAACACCCACCCTAGTATGCGCTCCAGCAGGTATATCTCACTGGTCATTCCCAAAGCCAACACCTCCTTTGGCCACCATTCCTTCCAGTTCTCTGTGCTAATGACTGGAACGAACTGCAAAAATCTCTGAAGCTGGAGACTCTTATCTCCCTCACTAACTTTAAGCATCAGTTGTCAGAGCAGCTTACCGATCACTGCACCTGTACACAGCCCATCTGTAATTAGCCCACCCAACTACCTCATCCCCATATTGTTATTTATTTTTCTCATTTGCACCCCAGTATCTCTATTTGCACATCATCTTCTGCACATCTATCACTCCAGTGTTGATACTAAATTGTAATTATTTTGCACTATGGCCTATTTATTGCCTTACCTCCATAACTTACTACATTTGCACACACTGTATATAGATTTTCTATTGTGTTATTGACTGTATGTTTTGTTTATCCCATGTGTAACTCTGTGTTGTTGTTGTTTTTATCGCACTGCTTTGCTTTATCTTGGCCAGGTCGCAGTTGTAAATGAGAACTTGTTCTCAACTGGCCTACCTCGTTAAATAAAATTTAAAAATTAAAATAACGCTGATTCTGACCCAACCATAAACACATACATTGTGCCTCTGGCCTGAGAGGATGGAAGTTCAATATGTAGCTAGATGTAGTAAGCTTATGTTAACTAGCTGGCTAATCATTGCCCATGAAAGGAAGCTAGGCTGGCGAGTAAGCATTTTAGCCAGGTAGCCTAGGACAACAAAAACTAAAAGCGTGTACTGTATGGCAGAGACATAGACCATAACGGCAACATGAAAGACAGGTGGATAGCATTGGCGTTTCTCTACAAGTAGGGTAAGTCAACATGTTTTTTCTTGTTACGCACACACAGAGAGACAGAAATCAGTACCATGGACAGATTATATTTAGTTTATTGGAATAAATTGTTTTTGGAATATTTTAGTTATCACTGTATTGCTCTCTGGTTTTGTGATGAAACAAAGGTGTGGTTGAATTTATTCTGCCACTGTGTCTTCTTATTGTCTCGGCCTTAGACCTATATGTCATGGTGGCAAGGCATATGAACTAACAGTATTTATAGAGCAAACAATACAATTATCACAACACACAGATTGTAAAAATGTGTATGTGATCAATACAATTTGATTTGATTTGATATGGCTTTTCTTTCCTGGCTTGGCTTCCCCAGTAATTTTACCCACTCACCCCTACTGTGATACATACCAATTGTAATTAGTAACATATACGAAATGGATGATGGACATCCACAAATGAATACATACCATATGAAACGTAACATAATATACTAAATGGAGGGAGAGAGATTTACGTTTACTATGCTACCTCTACCCCTGAGTCCAGCATCACATCCTGTTGAGAATAGAAATAGCCTACAATTTCTAAAGTGCTTCAAAATGTCTTACATTTTAGTCATTTAGCAGACGCTCTTATCCAGAGCAACTTACTGTTGGTGAGTGCATTGATTTTTTTTAGTTTCATACTGGCCCCCCGTGGGAATCGAACCCACAACCCTGGCGTTGCAAGCGCCATGCTCTACCAACTGAGCTACACGGTACCATCTCTTTTACCATCTCTGTTTTGAGTACCACTGGGCTGCTGTTGAAGATCGGGCTCTTGTCCTGTTTATCCACTTTGATCAGACGACTGATGTAGGCATTTGCAGAACCAGAACTTTTCAGTGGCCGGTGCTCATCAAAAACCGGCGACTCCACTTTGGAATGTTTGCGACTTTTACCAATAAGGCTATCACAAACTTTTCCATCCTTTATCGAACTTGTGCCATTCCTTTCCAATTCGATGGCAGAATTTTTACGATATCTTCCTGACAGTAGAGCACCAACGCCTCCACCACCACCACCGCTATCCACTTTGCGCAGACTCCCTTTGGAGCTGGTTGCTTTTGTGCCAAAGCCAGCTAGCTACCTGTCCAGGTTTACCCCTGGATTGGGAGCGTGATTCTGAAGCGGAGCGGATCCTATCGGTACCGTTCTTCAAATTGATGGGGAATTCTTTGAACCACTTTGCCATGATATCTGTATAAAGCAAATACTCTCTTTGGCCCAACACCTATATGCGCCATGCACTGTGCCAGCCCCAAAGACGCACCTTTAGAAATCACAGTAGGCTATTCTGACACAAAAGACTTCCATTGCTTTAACACAAGGCTGTTTTTTTTAGATTCTCTGCGTCTAAAGCCCCATTAGCTTATCTTTTACTTTTTTAAACAGAGGATATTGTTATAATAGCCAAATGGTCTAATTCTAGGCTATAACAAATTCAAAATGAAATAGAATATGATTTTTCATTTCATAATCAGATTAAATATTAATTAGGCCAACTTTATAGGCATGTTCAATTTCGTTTTTAAATAAAGGCCACAAGGTAAAACAAAATGAAATAAATAATAAATACCCTATATGTGATAGCCTATAACAAAATACAGGCCTGATGCAGCCTATATTGGAAGATTTCTCCCTACTTTATCCCATTTGTTATTATCTTTAAGTCAGGTCCTATCTCGGCCTCTTCCATTCGGCTGCATGTAGAGTTATTCCCTTTGGTTGAAGAGAAGTCTTTGGAGTGGGAAAACTCGAAAGAATCAAACGTTTTTCTTGGTTCTTATTAGTGATCCCATTCCCAGAGTGTCCAATCTTCTTGGCTGTCTATTTTTATGATGTAGCCCACTGACTGTGGCCTGAAGTTGAGATGGGTGGGCAAAGAGGGGTGGGGGAACACAGCAGGAACACAGACTAGCCTACAGTGGGAGGTGATTATTTCTAGTGGGGTCTACTATCCTGGCTGCCTATGTCATGGATGCAAGATGGGAAAAACAATTGTATTTATCTTTTTTGTCCATGATGCTTATAGCCTGGACCAAAGGTGAGGCTATTCACACAATATGTTATGAATTTGCAAAACGTATGATATGTTACGAATTCCAATTTGTTGTGGCTAACGTTAGCTAGGTGGCTAACGCTAACGTTAGCTAAGTTAGGGGTTAAGGTTAGGGTTAGGGTTAGAGTTTTTTATTTTTATTTTATTTATTTATTTCACCTTTATTTAACCAGGTAAGCCAGAGTTAAGGTTATGAGTTAGGTTAAAGGGTTAAGGTTAGGGTTAGGGGAAAGGTTAGCTAACATGCTAAGTAGTGCAAAGTAGTAAGTAGTTCAAAAGTAGCTAAAATTGTCCGGGATGAGATTTGAACACGCAACCTTTGGGTTATACGCCCACCCATCCACCCCGGCAAACCAACCAACCAACCAACCAACCACCCTAAAGTAACCTTCTGTATTATGTAATCATACCAAATGTCACAATTATATATATATATTTATATTTACTATGTTACATCTAGTCTATGAGACCAGGCTGAGTAGGGCCTATAATACTCAGTGAAAAACAGACTCAGTCAGTTATTATGAATAGGCCTAGAGATGCCATCGGAAAGTATTCAGACCACTTTACTTTTTCCATGTTTTGTTACGTTAAAGCCTTATTCTAAAATTGATTAAATAGTTTTTTCCCCTCATCAATCTACACACAATACCCCATAACGACAAATAAAAACATTTTTTAAAATTCTTTGCTAATTTATTAAAAATAAAACACTGAAATATAACATTTACATAAGTATTCAGACCATTTACTCAGTACTTTGTTGTAGCACCTTTGGCAGCGATTACAGCCTCGAGTCTTCTTGGTTATGACACTACAAGCTTGGCAAACCTGTATCTTCTCTGCAGATCCTCTCAAGCTCTGTCAGGTTGGATGGGGAGCGTTGGTGCACAGCTATTTTCAGGTCTCTCCAGAGATGTTCGATCGGGTTCAAGTCCTGGCTCTGGCTGGGCAACTCAAGGACATTCAGAGACTTGTCGCGAAGCGACTCCTGCGTTGTTTTGGCTGTGTGCTTAGGGTCATTGTCCTGTTGGAAGGTGAACCTTTGCCCCAGTCTGAGGTCCTGAGCGCTCTGGAGCAGGTTTTCATCAAGGATCTCTCTGTACTTTGCTCCGTTCAACTGTTCCTTGATCCTGATTAGTCTCTCAGTCCCTGCCTCTGAAAAACATCCCCACAGTGTGACCTTGAAACTGATATATCTTTCATTCTCAAAACAAGGGTATGGGCGTACTGCCAAATTGCAGATACTGATAGTGAGGATTCGTTCAATCAGTCACTTGCATGAACACAGAAAACGGTTATTAGAAAAGCACAAACATAGAACACAGAAATTGGTAAATACAAAAGCACCAACATAAAATGCCAAAGAGGTCTATCCAACATGTCTCTCTTTGGAGAAGTAATTTATCCCTATCTCCTTCCCTACGTGGCGCCTTTACTATTTCAATACCCATATAACAGAAGGCACTTAGTTCATGATTATGGCTATTAAAATGCTTCAAAGCTTTACCAAAGCTGGGGTCACTGTGTAATATATGCCAACGTCTATTAACCACTTCCTTGATCGACCTTGAAATAGGACTGTAGGTGGACACGAAAGTTGCAGAGGGATGAGAGGGATTCCTTTGAAGTGGTTGCAATAATGCATTCCGCTCAGTTTGTTTTAATCTTTTAAGGCAATTGTCCAATAATTATTCTGTATACCCTCTTGTTTTGAATCGTTCACATAAATCTTCGGCATGAACATCAAATGATAAATCAAAGTCACAAATGCGCCTAATACGAAGGAGTTGGCTTTATGGTAAACTATTTTTTAATGAAGGTGTATGATAATTGTTGAAATTAAGAAAGGTATTTCTATCTGTTTCTTTTCTATACACCTCAGTGTGCAAGCCATTGCCATCTTTCTTAACCAAAACATCCAAAAAGGAAACTAAGTACATTTAATGGACGGCATCCTGGAATTCATGTAGCCTATGTAAAGGATTCCTGCGATTCAAGATCATCACCTGACCAAATTTAAAAAATGTCATCAATATATCTCATAAACACTTTGATAAACTTAGAATAGGGATTATTATCGTACACAAAGTCCAACTCAAATTTCGCTATACATATATTTGCATAATTGGGCGCAACTGGCGATCCCATAACATTTAGGTAATGACATCATAATGTATTTGTAATGTGTGTGTCTATCTTTATTAGATTTTTATGTTTCCCCCACAGCTCCCTCTGCTGGGATCTCTTGATTGGGTCAATAATGACTGTGAATGTATAATTAATTATGCTCAATATGTGTGGTATTGTGACATTGATTGCCATTGCCTTGAACGCTGAAGAAGGGCTCATACCTGAAATGTTCGTGAAGCAATGTCAATTTAAGTTTATTTACAGGAGTGCTGTCCTATTTCTGTTCTTTGGATTATATAGAGGATCCAGCACCCGATTTAAGTTTATATAAGGTGGAGTCGAGCATGTTGTTTATCTTTTCAAACACTATTATTGCACACAGAGTGGGTCCATGCAACTAATTATGTCACTTGTTAAGCACATTTTTACTCCTGAATTTATTTAGGCTTGCCATAACAAAGGGATTGAATACTTGACTCAAGCAAGACATTTCAGCTTTTAATTTTTAATTAATTTGTAAACATTTCTAAAAACATATTTTCACTTTGACATTATGGGGTATTGTGTGTAGGCCAGTGACACAAAATCTCAATTTAATCTATTTTAAATTCAGGCTGTAACACAAGATTTGGAAAAAGTCAACGGGTGGTCTGTTCTAGACTGCTCCATAACCTGCAGTTAAAGGGGGGGCAATTAACAAATTAAGTAAACAATGTGTGCCATTTCTTGCACAAAAGAAAGCAGTAAAGCTACAGCTAGAATTATTATGAAGCGTAATAACGTTTACTATTAATGTAGATGCAGAAAGTGACTAATTTAGAAATCTCGTTTTAGGATACCCCTACTTTCCCTCTGAGTTGTAATGTTCCCGGGTGCGCTTCTCCTGCCTGGCCCTCTTTGTCCGGCGGCGACAGTAGGCCGTGATTAATATGGCAAAATTTGCGTTTTCGTATTAATTATTAGTTTAAGCTGTATCACAACAGAAAGCATATACCATGTGAGGACTGGTATGTCGGCAATGACACACCGGAGATGTTCATATTAACGGACTGCAGCGCAAGCAACGCCGGAGAAAGGGTATAGTTTGCTTCCCAATAATGCTAGCAGGCTAGCTAGCTTTTCGTAGCAAACTAACTAGCTAACATTTTACTAGAGACCGGTTATTTTGTTCCGCTTCCTATAGAGGCGAAACTTGTCAGTTAACCAAATTGAATGTAGATTATTCATTGTTATAAATCATAATCTACATGTAATTTATCACATTAACTAGCTAGCGACTAACGTTACCCAAATGTGATAGCTAACGTTGCCATCCAGCTAGCTATCTTAATTGCTAACTTTACTCATCTGTAACTAAGTGAGGGAGGAGGGGGAGTGTTAAGCAACTTGCGTTCTGGCAAACACTAGCCACAGTTTCATTCAGCCCGGCTCTTCATCTTGTGCAAGCTGGCTGCTGAAACTAACTCTGGCTAGCCACAGTTGTTGAACAAGTGTGTTGGCCACCAAACCCCGTGACAGCGTGGGGAACAAGATATCTAGCTGTAAAACGAGTTGTGAATTGCAAGGGGAGACACATTAAACGTTACCTATCTATCTATAGAAACCGTCCTCAAATCCAAAGACTGTGTATGACTCCACTTGCGAGTATTGCTCAGGTCCAAATTATCAAGACTATCGTCATTTAACAAATTTCTTACATGATATGAACGGTGAAATGGCACCGCACCGACAGTCATATTAATGGCTGCCGAATCGGGGAGACTACTGGCGGGACAAGGCCAAGGAAAGCGAGGCAAAGGTAGGTATATGATAATTTATTCATCCATCCCCGTCTGTCTCAGATCAGAACTAACCATTAGTTACCACTGCTGCAAATGCACGTGTCTACAGGACTGTAGACAGTTGTTCTGTCACGTAGTTTGTCTGACCTGCTACTCATGTTTTGCGTGTTGGTAATAGCCTGGCTGGTATTTATTTCATTTCTACGTTCTCATGATGTG